TTGGAGTAACAGAACATTGAATTTTGGGTGCTTTGGTCCTAGATTTCTAACCTTTGTTTAGGGGCTTTCTGACAATATACTGACGGATAGCATTATCTTTTGAGAGACTGAAAAACTTTTGGATTATGCTTTGGACCCCAACTGCCAAAGTACAAGTCCAGGAATATCCTTTTCAACAGTAACCAAGTTGAGAACACTCAGGTTGACACCCACAGTGCATCCATAAACAGCCTTGCGCTTCCTCTCTCCAGTTCTCCTGGGTCTGTAACAAGAATGCTCCTACTCAGCAGCAGGTGCATATCCACCATGAGTGGAGACACTTTGTTTCCTGGGAAAACCTTGCTTGTTATTCCCATCACTGAGTGGACCACATAACCTTTCCACTCCACTAGAGCATCAGCAGCTACTTCTGTGGCCACATGCTTCTTGGCTAATGTAAAACGTTTGTGTTCATTACCCACTTCAATGGGTTTCTAACAGCCAATAGGTGGCAAGGAGATACTGGCTTCATCCTGATTAAGCCGACCTCCTAGAAGGTGTCACAACAAAAAGTAACTCTGTGTGTGTGTGTGTGTGTGTGTGGAGAGAGAGAGAGAGAGAGAGAGAGAGAGAGAGAGAGAGAGAGAGAGAGAGAGAGAGAGAGAGAACCTCATAATACATGCAGAAAATCCACTTTGCTATACTATGATGGCTAATCTTGGTTGTCAACTTGACTATATCTGCAATCAACTAAACCTCAAGCTACTAGGTTCTTTAAAGGAGGTAGACCTACTCTAAAGCTGGCCACGCCTGGTGGTAACCCACATAAAAGAACATAAAAGGCCGGGTAGTTGTGGTACATGCTTTTAATCCCAGCCCGCGGGAGGCAGAGACAGGTGGATCTCTGAGTTTGAGGCCAGCCTGGTCTACAGACTGTCCTGAACAGCCAGGGCTACACAAAGAAACCCTGTCTCACCCCCACCCCCACCCCACCACCAAAAAAAAAAGACATGGAAGAAGGAAGCTTTGCTTTTAGCCTGCTAGCACTCCTGTTGCTAAGTTCATCTAACCTGTTGCTACCGAATTTTTCAGGATTCCAATGCAGACTGAAGACTAGCAGCTGTCCAGGGATCCTCCAGGGCTTCTGCACCAATGGGACTGCAGAGATATTAGCCTCATGAGGAACAACTAGTGGATTGCCAGCCTTTCCACTGTGAGATAGCCACTGTTGACAACCAGACCACATCCTGTAAGCCAGTCTAATAAATCACTCTCACACACGTTAAAAGGGGCTTTATATACGTGTGTGTGTATATATGTATGTATGTACATATATGTTATGTTCTATCAGTTCTGTTCATTCAGAAAACTCTAGTAAGTACACTATGCCATGGAATGCTAATGGAAGTTCAAATAAAATACAGGTTCATAATATAATACAGGTAAGCCTTGAAAACAACATGCAACACACAAAAATCCCATACAATTCCATTTATATGAAGTAGATCAGTATGACCTAGTGCTGGAGGAAGATGGAAGGTTTAGGGGGATGATGGCTATATAGGGTATAGTATATCAAAGTAATGAAAATGTTGTAAAATTGATTGCTGTGGTACAATCTGTGAACAATCTAAATACTACCAAACTATACAATTTATATGAATGATTAAAGTAATGGTTTATACATCATTGCAAAAATTGTTAAAATAATTATAAAATTTTTACAAGACAGAATAATAAAGCCAAGTGTGGTAGTACATAGACAGCTATAACCTATTCAGAAGACTAAGGCATGAGGATCATGAGTTCAAGGCCAGACTAGGCTCTATGGTAAGACTCTGCTGAAGAGAGCTGGGGGGGGGGGGACATTCTGGAGTTAAGAAACTTTACTAAAACATGAAAAGCATTACTAATAGTGAACTTCATCAAAATTCTAACTTTTGTTCTTTAAAACACTTTAAAGAATAAAAGGGCAAGCCACTGACCAGGAGAAATACTTGCAATACATCTAAGACAGAATTTACATCCAGTACACATTAACAAAATAATAAAAATCAAAATTTTAAGTGGACAGAAAATTAACAGAATCTTCACACCAATGATAACAGATGAAAGACAGTTAATCTTAAGGAAATTGATTCTTTGTCAATGAGTTGTTGGCTAAATATAAATTAAAACTTAAGTAGGATACCACTATACCCACAAGAATGCCTGTAGTGGGGACTGAAGAAATGGCTCAATGGTTAAGTGCACTTGCTGCTCTTGCAAAGGACCATACCAGGAAGTTCACAACTTCATATAATTCCAGCCCCAAGGATCTAATACCTTCTTTTCACCTCTGCAGGCACCTATATACAGTTGGCATTCTCTCTCTCTCTCTCTCTCTCTCTCTCTCTCTCTCTCTCTCTCACACACACACACACACACACACAAACACACACACACACACACACACAAATAAATAAATGATTAAAAACAAATCTTAAAAAAAAAAAAAAAAAAAACCAGAATGGCCAGTAACAGGGACTGACAAGACCACTCCATGGTTAAAAGAATGCACTGCTCTTGAAGAGGACCCAAGTTTGTTTTTATCTAGATGCTCACAACCAGCTCTAGGGGAATCTGACACCTCTGGCCTCAACACTGGCCACTGCACACAGGCATAAACATATACACTCTCTCCCTCCCAGTCCCCATCTCAAAAATAACAAACATAAATCTTTTAAAACACGAGTAAGACTAAAGCTCAAGGATATAACTCAGTGTTAGCACACAGAACATGGGTTCAGTCCCCAACACAAATAAAAAAGAACAAAGAATAAACAAAAACAAAATACAGGCCAAGCACAGTACCTCACCCCTCTCTCTCTCTTTAACTGAAGCAATTGGGAGTCTGAGGCAAAACCACTATGAGCTAAATGTCACCCAAGGATACACAGAAAGTTCCTACCTGGAAAAAAAAAAGTATTAAAATACCATCTATTGAGGTTATAGGAAAACTAGAATTCTCTATTGCAAATGAGAATGAAAATATGGCAAAGGCACTTTTGAAAAGGAGTTTGTTCCTTTTCTTTTGGGTTTTTGAAACAGGGTCTCCTACAGACTGTGTAGCTGAGAATGACCTTGAATTGCTGAGCCTCCTGCCTCTGACCCCCCCAAGGGCTGAGATCAGAGGCATATTCTACTACACCTGGTTTCTGTGGCGCTGGGGACTGAATCCAGAGCTTCATGTAAGATCAGCAGAGTTCTTCCCTCTGAGTCACACACGCCTTCAATCCAAGTCTGGCAGGAATCTGTGTGTGTGTCCAGTGAATGCCAGAGTTTGTGCGTGCGTGCGTGCAGACCTGTGTAATATGGGCATACAGACAACCCACAGAACTAAATGTCCTCCTCCATCACTTTCTGACTTGTTAGTTGAAGGCAAGGGCTCTCATTTCTTAGGTGGTCTGACAACCAACAAGTTCTAGTAATAGTCCTGTCTCTACCTTCTACAGTGCTAGAGTGACAGGTGAGCAAGAAACCACACGTGGCTTGTGGCAGGTATTTTGTTGCAGCAACAAAACCAGTAACTAACTAAAACAAGTACATATTATATGTTTCCATGTGTCTGACATTCAAAGAAAAAAAAAAAAAACTCAAAATATAGAGACAGAAAATAGATCTGTGGTTAACAAGGAAAAATAACTACAAAACAGAGCATGGAAATTTGAGGAGTGATGAAAATATTCTATCTTTATTGTGGTAGTAGATAAAAGACTATGAACAGCATAAAGTTGGACATCTATCTAGATAAATGGTTAAACATACAGAAATCTGGCTTTTATAAAGTTGACCTTTTACAAAAGTAGTTTTATTCCTTGTTTCAAGGCTACAAAAGTTGTCAAAGCCCTAGGTAATTCTCAAAAGGTTCCATAACCAATCAGCTCTCACTTCTAAACTCTGTGTACAGGTCTAAGAACAGGAACCATGCTGACACAAAACCCATGTGCAATTATCCCCAGATAACTTCCGTATTTTGTTCCCCTCCCCACTGCAAGGAAGAATCCCACAGGCATTTGGTGGCTCCTTCCCACAGAAGGAACAGAGCCAGTAACTTCAGTCAGCATATCAGCCTTTTAAGTTATAGAATATTGAACCAGAACCTTGACATGTTAGTTAAGCCCTCTACCCACTGAGCTATACTCCCAGCCCTACAGCTGTAAACACCTGTGGCCTGTTTGCCAATATCTAACAGAATCCCTTCATTTCCACAAAGGATAAAAGGACCAATGTTTATTATGTCAACATTTCTGAAACAAAGGCAAATAAAACATAGTGCAACCAAGACAAAAATAGTATGAAGTATCAATAGCAACTATGTTTTAAAGACCTAACAGCATCAAGAAATGGCTGTCACATATCACCTAAAATTCAAGATGAAATCTACTTATTTACAATAGCTACAAAATGGCAATGTGTAAAACAGCCCAGGGAAATTGCTGTCAGAGTGTATTAGGACCATGGGGTGGGGGAGCTCAAGAGTTATTCATGCACATAGACAACCCCAAGAAATGAAAAGGGACAAGATGTGTAAAGGAATGAGTATAGGGATACACAGGAATCAAAATAACAAACCTCTGTATTATTCAAATATTTTGGAAGATACTTTTCAAAATTAATCTTAGTCTATAGCTCCAGAGCCAACAGTAAATCAGACTACAACTAGCAAAACATATGGCAAAAGAAATTCATGTATTTTTACAAAAGACCAGAATACAAACTTGCAACTGTCAGGAAATAAAATGAAATTGTACTTAAAACAAAGACAGGACTCTTCATTGCTGTAGGTCACCCAGGCCTGCAGTGTCAGTGTCAAGATCTTCTCTGAGTGACTCCAACTTCCTGACAGACAAACTGATCTAGGATGCAGGGTTTTGTTTTTTGTTTGTTTGTTTGTTTGTTTTTTACTGCTTGAAATATATCCATGAGAGTGAGGGAAATAAAAGCTAAATGTTTGAGGATCACGCTGGGCTGACACTCACCACAAACTTCTCACCATTCTGCTCCACATGTTTGTATGTGGGGACCGATATGGGCACTGCTTGCTTTTCTGTGTAATCATAAAATGATTGTCCCAAGGAGTCGTCACTGGGATCTAGGTTATCAGCCTCATGAGGAGGTACAGACAACACTGTCAAGATCAATTCCTTCTCGCCTGCTCGGATCAGGTCCACCACCTGCTTGTGTGTCGCCCCCTCAACATTCACGCCGTTCCTATGGGGGAAAAGGAAAAAAACAATCCCATAAACCAGAAGGGTCCAAACACTTTGTAACTCCACCCTCCTGTCCCCACTCCAGCATCACAGAATGAACCATAAAATCAAAAGTCCATCTGGTTCCAGAAAAGCTGTTTGCGAACTTATGGCAGGGAGAGAAAATGCAGACAGGCGAGAGACCTACCCTTCCTCCAGTCTACACATGGCTTGAGTCAGAAAAGCATGTAGGAAAGAGGCTGCTGCTGGGAAGAAACAAAGCTTTCAGCTAAACTAAAGTCTACTTTTCTCATCTTAACCAGCCATAAGAATAATACAATCAAAGTGGCTTAAATAATTCTTCTATTTTTCTGTAATCTGTTCACCTAAACTCCACGGAAATTTCCTAAGGTTTATTTTTATTATTTTTAATTATGTGTTATATGTGGGTATGTGCACAGAAGTGCTGGTGCCTGTAGAGGCCAGAGAGGCCTGGTGCTAGAGTTACAGGCAGTTGTGAACCATCCAATATTGGTGTTGAGAACCAAACTTGGGTCTTCTGCAAGAGCAGTATGCATTCTCAACCACTGAGTCATATCTCCAACCCCAGGAATTGTCTTTAAAATAACAACAACAACAACAACAAAAAACTTCCCTTGGTGGTGGTGATGCCCACCTTTAATCCCAGCACTCAGGAGTCAGAGCCAGGTGGATCTCTGTGAGTTTGAAGCCAGCCTGGTCTACAAAGTGAGTTCCAGGACAGCCAGGACTATTTAATCTACCCATGTCAAGAAATACACACCTACAGCTAGACAGTAAATCAACCTACTCATTTTCCTGCCTGTTCGCTTGGATGCAAGGCTGAAATCAGGAAAGTATAAGATTTGAAAGAACAGTACTTTTGTCAAGAAAGATGCTGAGTTTCACAAGCACTGAACAACCTTCCCAGGGTGCTGAACCTAATGAGCCACCTCAGCAAAAACCAATGGGCAGCTGGCCTGGAGGAGGGTCCCTACCTTGACTTTCACAAGAGGGACAGGAAAACACACCTGGCCTCTACTCACTCTCTTATTTGAACCTTATCTGCCCTTTAGAGCTAAACTATGTTTTCAGTTCTGTTCGGACCATTAGGGTTTTCTCTTCCTGAAAGAAAGAATGCTATGTTTAGTTACAAGATTTCCAGTTTCCAGTCATGGCCTGGCCTCTGTCAGAGTCTGGTATCTAAAACATCCATGTGTATAAACAGCAGACAGGATAGGCCTCTGCTAGCCTCCTCCCTTATTTTCAATTTAACAATCTAGCCAGTACATTCAGCTAGGTACAGCAGGATACAATTGTAGCACTCACAAGGCTGAAGCAGGAGGATCACCACAGTTCTGAGACCAGCATGGGCTATATGAAAGACCCCGTCTCAAAATACTTTAAAAAAAAAAAAAAAGGAAGTAAAATTTGTGATCCTCAAAACTCTTAACATTTCTCAATCTAAAATTGTAATTATAAGCAAACTCTTAAAAACAGTAATTTAACCAAAACAGTCAGTTCTATATACAAAAATTAAGGGTACCTTTGCTGATGGAAATCCCAACTTGTACTATCTAAAGAGAAACCAGAGTAGGAAACTCTAACTTTCCAAATGTAACCCCAGCTCTGGAGGCAGAGGCAAGAGTCCCCACTTCTGGGCTGACAGGAGCTATGAGATCATTTGACAAGCCAAACAAAGAGACATGAGTAAGAAGGAAAGAAAACTGAGCAGGCACAGCTCAGCTGTGGAGTGCCTGCTGGCATGAACACTGCATCAAGACGGTTGAGGGAAAGAAGAAACTGAAACCTAAACATGGGTTGGCACAGGAGTTCATCTAGTTCTTTGGCCTTAGTACTTCTGAGAAAACTAAATTGAAAAGGTTACAAATAAGCTCAGAATTCATCTATTAATAAGAACTTTGCCTTATTCACAAATGTCCATTTTAATTTTTCAATAAAATAAGAGACACAAGATATCTCAGAGACTGAACAATATCCTAGATGCTAACAAGATTTTTTGTGAATTTATCCTTAAATCTCTTTTTAGTTCCCATTTTTTTCCTTTTTTTAAAAATGGCTCTAAAGAGCTCCACTTTTTTTTTTTTTAACCTTTAAAGAGTTGTTGTTTGTTTTTGGCAGAGCAAACAGATTTATTAAAGAAGAAAGTAAGAGTAGGAGGGCCTCTGAAGAGCACATTTCCCCAGCTTTCCCCAACATGACTTTACAATGCAGTCATACCTGACTAGCTTGGCAGCTCCAGCTCCCCCAGTGTGAGCATTACTGGCATGTGCCACCCTAGGCTGTACAGGCTTGGGAGTTAACCATGCTACAACATTTATGCGTAAAGGTGTATTTGTATCATGTATCTTGGGGGAGGGTAGAGGGGTAGGGGAGAAGTTCCCTTGCTTTCATTGGTTTCAAAAAGGAGTATGTAGTCTCCAAAAAGATTTTTAAAACTACTGGTTTCAGCCAGGTAGTAGTGGCACACACCTTTGATCCTAGCAGAGGCAGAGATAGGCAGATCTCTGTGAGTTCGAGTCCAGCCTGGTCTACAGAGTAAGTTCCAGGACAACAAGAGCTATACAGAGAAACCCTTTCTCAAAAAAACAAAAAACAACTCCCCCCCAAAAAAAAAACCCAAAAACCTGGGTACTGACTTCAAAACACAACTGTACCTAACTGCTCCTTAAGTCACTCACAAAAAATCTCCCTGAAACTGGCCACAGTGCATACACTTTTAATTCCAGCACTGCAGAAGCAAAGGCAGGCAAACAGCTCTCTATTGAGTTCAAGGCCAGCCTGCTCTATATATAGTGAGTTCCCGGCCAGTGAGACTGTCAAAAATAAATAAATCCTGGAAAGACTCGAGAGAAATTTAAGTGAGTGATATAAACAGTCAGAGAGCAAAGGAGTAGCTTAAATTCCCTATCTTTGTTATCAAGAATGTTCTCCCAACTGGCTAACATCCTAAAAGCTCTAATAAATAAATAAATAAATAAATAAATAAATAAATAAATAAATAAAGTCGAGGGGTGGGGGTGTGGCTCAGTGGTAGAACACTTGCCCAGCTTGTATGAACCCTAGATTCAACCCCCAGGATCACAAAAAAGAATGAGGCAACAAAAACAGGAAAGAACTAGTGTTTTGTGTCATATCCTAAATACATCTACTAATATTTACCTGGCTCATCTACAGAAGAAATGCTATATATATCTCAACTTAATACAAAGAAAGGAATTCTTTCATTCTCCAGAGAATGAAGTCAGCAAAAAACTCCAGGCCATCTGATCTGAAACACGGCCCTCCCTCCTCAGGAATTTCAGGGACTTCACAATCATAAAAGTCATGGCCTGGAGAGATAGCTCAGCTGTTAAGTGCCTGTATGAAGACCAAGTTCAATTCCCAACTCCCACATCATGTGGCTTACAACCACCTATAACTCTAGATCCAGAGGCATATGACACCTTGGTCTCTGGAGAGCACTGGCAATCACATGCCCATATCCAAATCCAAATTCATACACACACATATTCTCTCTCTCTCCTCTCTCTCTCTCTCACACACACACATTTAAAAATAATAAATATTTTTTAAAGTATTAGTCATAAGAATGTTGGTATGATACACTGTTTTCCACAGTAATACTACTACGTTAAGCTGGGCCCCAAGGTTGTACAGACATGAAACACAAATAAATGCAAAGTAGAAAGGGGAAGTTTCAGCAGTGCAGACATCTGGTTCAAAGAATGTGCTCTGGGGATCAGACATGCTTGGGGTTTGAATACCAATGATGCCGTCTAACAAATAAGACCTTACTAGGTAACTTATTCTGTCTCACTATGCCTCAATTCCCCAATCCATATAAAAAGCCACCAATAACATCTATGGCTAATCAAGTGGCTATGAGAAATACAGTGAGCTATAGCTCTAGAACATGGAGCCACTCAATAAAGCTATTAGTACTGATATCCACACTAGCAAATGAGCTGGCAGAATTGGGTTCTTCATCATGATAAAACCTCTTCCAACAATTTTACTTGCCTTCTTTTTTTTGTAACATAATCTATCAGGAATTCAACTGAAAACAATGATCACAAAATAAGCAAGCATGAAAGAAACACACAAGTCCCACAAACAGCACAAAAGGATCTGGGACTGGATAAGACATACCAGCCTATGCTTTCCACAAAGAAAGTCAGTATCTTCAATAACTAGCAAAAATAATACTGCTGATTAAACAAATAAAACTGAATGTTAATTTTAGAATGAGGAGGGTACATGTAAGGGCTGGAGAGATGGCTCAGCAGTCAAGGGCACTCACTGCTCTTGCAGAGGACCTGAGTTCAGATCCTGCATGGGCAGCAGCTTACAACTAACCGCCTATAACTCCAGCTCCTGGGTATCCAACACCCTTCTTTGGCTTCCTTGGACACTTAATGGATGGGCATAAATATACATATACAACAGATGCACACACTTCCATATAATTAAAAATAAATAAACTGGGCAGTGGTGGTGCACTCCTTTAATCCCAGTACTGTGAAGGCAGAGACAGGCAGATCTCTGTGAGTTCGAAGCATGGTCTACAAAGCTAGTTCCAGGACAGCAGGGGCTATACAAAGAAACCCTGTCCCAGGTTCAATTCCTAACACCCACATGGAGGTTCACAAGCATGTGTAACTCCAGTTCCTAGGGATCTGATGCTCTCTTCTGGATTCCATGGCAAGGGCATGCACATGGTGCACATACATATATGAAAGCAAAACACTCAAACACATAAAATAAGAATACTTTTTAAAAATATGTAAACATGGAAAAAACTTATTTTAAATGCAAAAAATGTAATAGTTTCTTATATATCTAAAATTGAAATTACTATTCACCATGATTATAAACATCAATTTTTTTGCCATAAAAAGGCATAACTAATGAACTGGGCATGGTAGCAAACACGTTTAATCCCAGCACTTGGAAGGCAGAGTCAAAGTACAGCCTGATCTA